ATAAAAGGAAGTGGCGCCCTGAACCTTCCCACGTCACGGACTCACGCCCTAGCGGGTTGAAGATTGGTATATCTTGTGTTTTTTATGTACACGAATATCTTGTGTTTTTTATGTACACGAGCGTTATCGTGTTACATATCCCATTTGGATTTAATCCAAATTGATCATCGTTATTGAAATATGCCACTATTCAATTATCTTACTATAATTTTCATTTGCATAAAATACACATTTTTATAAATATTTGTTAAAATATCATTTTTAAAAATCAATCATATAAATCATGATGTCATAAATGATAATTGAATTATTAGTGTTAAATTAGAATTGATTATCTGCAATTATTAGGGTAGAATGACTTAGGCCGGTAGTTCGTTGTGTTATTTTGTCAAATAAACTAATATTTTTTTCTTACTGTTATCTAATTAATGTGACTAATTCGACTTCAAAATCTAAATTATCTATTAGCTACTCATCACCTCAATGTACATATGTCAACAGTATATGTATGTGTTATGCAGTATCCATACTCTATATCCATATTACAGCTGTCAGTTCAGTGTCATTAAACTCCATGTTAACCAATAATAGTTAAACATGTTAAACTTTTATATCAAGAATATAAAACAACATTTTTTAATTGAAAATTAACTTATATCTTTTCATTTGCTTGAAATAAGAAAGATTTTTATAACAAAATATCTGCATTCAACACATGTTTCATTAAAAAAAAGTATAATATGATTCATGAAACTCGCGCAATATAATACATTAAAAAAAAAAACACTCGAAAAGTATCAATTGAATCAGCAAAAAAAAAAATATAAATTAAATTTTTGTACCTGACGCCGTAATCAGAATACGCGCAGAGGGCAAAGTTTAATTTCCAGTTTCGAAATGAAAACATTAATTTAACTAGATTTATTTAATTTTATTTCAACTTTCTAAAACCCACTTTAGAAAGTTATTCTCGTACAATTTAATTTACGAATCAAGTTGAACATGCAGCTTAATTAATTTATTTCAATCTCAAGAACTTTGAGCCGCTTCAAAAGTTTGTATTTACTGAAATCTTGATGTTATTATGTTATGATGATATTTAAATGTGAAGATGACAAATATTTCATTAACAACAGCAAAAGAATTGTATTAAAATTGTTGATTAAATATAAATAATTAGTTATATAATAGATGAAATATTTGAAAAATATAATGATGTATTATAGTTAAGCATCTCGTATTGATGATTGAATTTGGATAGGTGATAAATATATTTGAAAACTTGTAGATCGAGGACAATTTGTTAAATGAAATAAAGCTATTGGTAACTAGAACATCTATAGTCAATGTTACAATAACAAAGAGAAGTACATTGGTTTATATACTAATAAAGTATTAAAATATTTGTATTTGAAGGAAGCTGAATTTGGTATAGATTAATTAAAGGTTGGTTTAATAAAAATGTGTTCTTTCTATCAAAGTCTAATAAAAAATTGTAAATAAATCTTGTGTCGGTAGGAAGTTTTCTTATATAAAATTTATGTATAATTGAAGTAATCTTTGCGGTAATAAAAACTGCGTGTTATTTTTATATAAACAGGAGACTTTATCTCGGAATGTTTTCCTCCGGTATCTGCGTTTCGTGGTGAATGAAGAAAAAAAAAAGCAGGAGCACATGTATATTGCAAATGTAATCTTGACAGAGAAAGAAAAGTCGTATACATGCATAATGCAGAAACGAAATCCATATTTCATCTTGCGTTTCCGCAAACCCGTTTCCGGAAAGGTTAATAATTCAAAAAAGGATTAGCGCGATTAATGTTGCTGCGGGAAAAGGACGAAATGGAAAAGGAACGATGATGAAGAAGGTTATGTATATTTGTTTGTTTGTTGTTGTTTGGTTCCTTACCCCGGATGCGACGTTGTGTCTGCAGCTTGCAGCGTGTCCGTTGCAGACGCACTGACCACCTATGCTGATGTCACGGATGGAATAGTAAAGTCTTTTGTTCCTGAAATGATCCTGGGACAGCCAAACCGGAAGTGGCTCGACCGATCCACGTAATCCTTGAAGCCTGAGCCTCACGTACCGGGCTTTCGTGAACTCCAGCAGTTCCGGACTGGTTTCGTTAGCCCCTGGTCTTCCGTGGATTAAGAACGTGTGTATCTGAAACGATATAAAGGGGATTAGTTCTGAGCGAATTCATTACATTCGTTTCATTATTTTTTTTTTGCAAATCACTGTCAAAACTCCTGCCATTTCTTTCGTTGTCAATTGATCAAAGCCATCTTCTGCATTTACTTTTATTATACTTTTGTAACTGTTCATGTTTCTTCTGTTCGATTCGCGTTCGTTTTTTTTTTTTTCGTTGCATAATGCTTAAGTGGAATACAAATCACGTCTGGCTGTCCGCTGGGCCTCCCGGTAGAAACAATTTCAATATGATATTGTAAATAGGAGCGGACAAGCTGAGAACCCGCAGGAAATCCAAGACTTAACAAAACGGATGAATAATAACCGCAGCGAGAGGCCTCCGAGAACCCATCGTCAACCATTTAACAAGTATATTCCTCACTGCTACCATTAATTTCCAACCGAACATATATATTTTGAAAGAAATCTTGTTGCGCGCTCTCCATCGATCCGCAGTCTCTCGATGTTTCGAAACGCAATTCAATATAACATCCAACTTATACTGCCTACATATTTTTTAACAAAACAAGCAATAAATTTAAAGAAGTAGATCATATAATTATTCACATTTATAATTTGTTACAGTTGCTTTGTGTGGAATTTTATATATATTTTTTTTATGGTCTTATAGTTCGTAGACGAAGAAACATAATTCAAATACAGTGAAATTTAGAGCTTTTTTAGACTTCGAGTAGATCCATTTATATCAATTCGTCGTTAATCGAGGAAGTGCTTAATAAGGTCTGACTGTATTTTAAAATAATTAAGTAATATAAAGTTGACTACTCATTGCATAAAGCTTAACAAATAACCTCAAACAATGCAACTAATTGGTTAACAAAAGAATCACTTACAAAACAAGCTATTAGAGAGAGGCACTACACGATAATTAAAATGTATTTGACAAGTAACATGACAAGTATCGATTTGTAGAAAATCTTGTTAACTAGATGAAATCAAATCAAAAAGAACAAAATATTATTACATTTTTTTTTAAATTTATCTTAATTTTGTCACATCAATACATGGATATAAGATAATTTTAAATTTGGAAAAAATTTCGATAAACGAATTTAAGTTTGATTGAAGAAAATTATAACATTTATATATAATAAAATAATTTCCACATTGAAACAAAATCGTTAAAAAAATTCAATGGAAATACTTTTTTTTTCAATAAAAACCAAAATAATTATGAATATTGATCTCTTCTAATTAATAGCTTTGAGGATTTCGGTTTGGAATATATTTGAAGAATTAAGAAATGGAATGTACAATATTTTTTAATAATCTCGAAAAATTGGTTCCAATAATAGAAAAAGTTAAATAAATGTAATTTGAGGCAAATCCAAGTGTACATCAACATGTGTAGTACAAATTGATGATTACTGCAAAAATAATTTAAGAAGCTGAATTAGTTTCATAATCCATCAAAATTAGTCACAATTGTGACCAAAGGGCCATCGACCTAAGTTTTTTCGCCCATTAAAAACAATATTTCTGCAATTTTATAATTATTATATAAAAAAGTTAATTTTCATATATATATAAATATATAAAAATAGTATATTTAAAATTGTATCGAGTTGTTGAATGTTAAACTTGAATTATGATGAAATTGAGTGAAACATTTCATTATGTTTTCAGTATTGTTTTTGTCATTGTTTCATTCGTTTTATAAACTTATAATAAACTATGGAAAATATAAGTTTTCTAGAAAATATTAAGTTTCTCGCAGCGGATATATGAGCTGATGCATTGTATAATTATAACAAATTTTGCTGAAGAAAATCTATAAGATTTCTTGACGTGAATGTAATTGATATTTATGTAAGGAAGGAAAGAAAATAGAACAACTGGCAGACGGTGGATGGGAACATCGAGGAATTCTCATATTGAAGAAGTGCACCGTTACATTTTTTATTTATCCTCCTCCTCGGGCCGAATATTCTTTCAATTTTAAATGTCATAAAATCGATTCACCGACGGAACGTGAAACGACGGATGGTGCGATTCTCTTTTTATTAAGATAGCCGAGAAGGGAAAGAGAGAGAAAAAATGGATAAGGATGAGACGAGATGAGATGAGATGGATGTGTCTGCTCCTAGGATCCTTCTTTCATTCATTTATTTATATATGTATGTATGCGAATGTGTGTGTGTTTTTTTTTGTTGGTTCTGTGCGTTACCTCGCCGTTCTCCATGGGCATTAATTTGGAGTAAAAGGACGTGCAGATGACCTCGGAGTCTGTGAAATAATGGGGCTTCCCCTTCCGAGCTGGAATTCCGTATCGATCCTGGCAGTCCTTATCACTTGTTGCGAAATACTGCCACGGCTCGTAACTGCCGTCGTCTATCGACCTCTCCAGTATCCACGATCCGGGTCTCGGGGAGTTACCGACTTTTATAATCACGTACGCCACCTGATAAACCTACAAAACAAAGAAAAAAAACGTAAAATTAGTAACTTTCCTGCAGATTTTTTTATATGTAACAATAGAAGCGACAACTTAGTAAATTTTTAATGAAACTAGTCGCCTAAGCTAAATTAATTCACATTTTCACATCTTATTTACTAAAATTATTCACACAATAAAAAAATAATATATATATTTATTTGTTTTGTAAATACTTTAGATTCTGAATTAATACTTTTGCTGGCAGATGAGTACATATCTAAACTATACCATACATTGAATACTATAGTATTAATAGTAATTAATTGTTAATTCACAAATGTATGGAAAATGGACAAATTTGATTGTAATAATGAAAATTTATATTTTTTTTATAAAAATCAAGTATAATTTATGTTTATAATTTTGTCCATTAACTCTACCATCAGCTTTATTCTCATTTTCTTAGTTCATATTGTGTTAGCACTATTTACTAATCTATTGCTCCAATTATATGTATTGTCTAATATGTGTACATTTACGAGTAATAGTAAACATTGTTATATTGAGTAGAAACTTAGACTAAAAAAAAATACATAATATTAGTAATTTCTACTATTTTATTGTAGCAAATAGATTAACTACTAACTATGTACAGTGGAAACTTTTACTAAAATCCAAAAAATTAAATTATTATCTATGAAAAGTAACATAATTATGATAATTTTCAATATCAATTAAAATTTCATAAATTTACCAGAAATAGTAAACATTTTTATATTCGGTTGAAATTTTTACTAAAAATAAGAATTTGCTATGAAAATTCAAATAATATTGGCAATTTCTACCATTTTTTTTAGTTTATATTCTGTTAATACTTTTTACTAATTTATTGCAGCAAATACATGCTAATAATAAACGTTTATAGTTTGAGCAAAAACATTTACTAAAAATACAAAATTTACCAATTTTTCATAAAAATTTTAATAATCTTTGTAATTTACACTATAGTTTTTTTGAGATTATACATTGTTATTACTTTTTAACAATCTATTGCAGCAAATACAAGCACTGTATATTAAATGTGTACATATATTAGTAATAATAAACATTTTGAGTACAAACTTTTACTAAAAATACAGAATTTACCTATTTTTTATGAAAATTTTAATAATCTTAACAATTTTTCCCATCATCTATATTTTATATTGAGTTAATACTTTTTACTAACTTATTGTTGCAAATATATGCATTGTCTAGAAAGTATGTACATTGACCAGAAATAGTAAACATTTTCATATTATCTTGATAATTTTAGATAAATCTTAGCTAAATGTAAACTCTATTAGTAAGTATGTACATTTACTATTTTTAAGACTTTGATGCAACATATATACTAAATAATAAGTTGTAAATCAATTTTTTAAGATTTTGCAGTAAGTACGAAATCGAGGTGATGTTTTTACAAAAATTTTAGGTATAAAGCGTTATTTGACTTATAAGACTTTGCAGCAATATATATACAAAATAATGATGATTTACTATGCACAGTATGAACAATATATTGAGTTGATATTTATACTAAAATATGAAGCAACAGTGATTTATAAGTGTACATTTTAAGATTTCGCTTCAACACATATACCAGATGATGATGATATAATTCGAACGCATGCTATAGTTCCGCACTCGAAGTCACGTTCGATAACTATGCACATGCCACATTACGAGCATTTGTTAACATTTGCTTGTTATTAATATTAACTCTCACGAACGGAACGCTATTTATATATGACCATTTCAGACCGTTACTACCTTTGCTCACTCTCAACTACACACACACAGATACAAACTTGCATATGTACACACACTCACATATACACATCTCCTCAGATTATTCCATTTATAAGTCTACGTATATAAAAAGCAGTTCAAGAGATCGAAGATAAATTGTTATAAACCATGATACGTATCATGGATGTAATCTCAATCCACTTCTTTCCGTGATATCCTGAACCGAGACTCTCGCTTGCATTAAAACCGACTACACTTTAAACCGCAGCATGTGACCTTTCTTTAGAATATAATTCTATTGTAAAACGTACCGATAAAACGTATTATGAACATCTCAGCTCTTAGCTCTTATATATATACTATATCATTTCATTTAATTATATATATAGAAGCTATTATTAAATTATATACTCTAACAAATAATACCTTTTGCATGTGCAAATTATTGTATTCATTTAAGAAAAAAATAACTAACTAAATATTGATTTAAAGGATTAGAATAATTAGAAGATTATCAAAATAAGATTGAATTACAAATAATGAAATTCTTGAGTAAAAAATGTAATAAATAATTAATATGAAGTGTTTGAAAACTTTCAAAATATGCTTAAAAAGAATATTATAATGAAAGTATTGGAATAATTAAGTGTACAAGAATGAGAATTTATTATCATTTCATATTTATAAATATAAACAAAAAAAATATTGAAGTAATTAACTAATTATCAAAAAAATATTATAATAAATTAGAAATTAATGTGAAAATATTAATACAAATTTAAAGAACAAATGTACAGTTATATAACAATAAGAGTGTTGGAGTTGTATTTAGTATCATTAGTTTGAAATTCCATTTAAAAAAATATATGAATGAAGAGAGAACGATGAATGGATTTGGAAAATGTGTAAATTATTAAAGCAAAACATCGTAATTAGTAGCGTAAACTGTGAGTAATTTGTATGTGTAGATTCATCAATGAATCGTTGAACTTTCACTTATTTTACAATCGTAAAATCAATATTTCTATTTAAGAAAATTACATATTTTTTAATAATAACAATAATCAAAATCTTAAATTGTTATTTGAAAAATTATATTATAATTAATAGGTGTAAATATATAAATACATAAGTTAAAGCAAATTTGTAATTGAAAAAGAAAATTATGAAGAATTAGTGTGTCTCTTAACCAAAGTATTTGAAATTTATTTAAAATGGTTTGAATGAATTCAATGTCCACGACTTACGAACTCCCGGACTTACGAACAAAATTAGTACAGATGTACTATCTGTTTTATTGCATTTATTGCTTTTGTCATTTTTATTAAATAATTGTTATGTCTACATTGAAAAGTATTTGTAAGTAAGTATTTTGTTTATTTTAATCTACTTTTTCAAATTTATGCAGTAAGTAATACGAAATTTAACACATATAATAGTAAAAACCAAGATGAAGTGTTAAAATTTCCCCGACTTACGAACAAATTCGACTTACGAATAACCCTTTGGAACGGAACTAGTTCGTAAGTCGGGGATACTTGTATTAAGAAATCTATAATTGAAGCAATTTTAAATTATTCTGTTAAATGTATATACATATTCTATAATTAGTTTTGATTAAAAATGTATATATTTTTTATTATATAATAATATAATTAATATAAATTACAAGTTTACTATTAAAAGTTGTATATACGAATGCTGTAACTTATTAGTGAGAAAATTTTAATGGGTTTTCTCACACATTTTCTAATAAAAACTGAGTAATTAACATATTTCATAATTGAAAAGGTAAATTACAAAGAATTAGTATCTATTCTAAGAAAACAAAGTTACAACACTTTACTTAAAATATACACATTTGAGTCGCATTTATAAAGATTCAGTTATTCTATAATTTCACATCTAATACTTTATAAACAAATCAATAATTATATATATAAAAGTGGAAATTATATTTGAGAAAATAGAAATTAATTAAAAAAATTGCTTTTTTTGTTTGTAAGTAAATTATTAAACATTTACTTTAAAACATTGAATTAAAATTTTGAAAAAATACAAAATTTCATCGAAAATTTCAAAAAGTTAACGAGTTTAATCCGTTCCAAAATTTCCGGATTTTTACTCGTATAGTGAAACATTAAAAAATACACATATGTGTACATAAGTTTTAAAAATGACGTAAATCCGGGACTTCTCTTCTCATCATCACTCGTTATGCGAAACGTCGCTCGTTAAGCGAGTCATTTTTTTTACAATTCATTTTGCTCGTTAAGCGAAATGCTCGTTATGCGAGGTGTTCGTTAAGCGAGGTTCCACTCTATTTCAATAAGATGTTTAAAAAATAAATAAGCTATATAAGTTTTCATTTCTGATTTAAAATGTGTCAGATTTGAAATTTCTCCCTAAAAACTTAATGCTGACGTTTATCTTTATTACTTTATTCATTTTTTTTCCTTTTCACTCGTTGAAAGCTTTTAAGATGGAATGAATGGTTTCTATAGTAAGAAAGAAATAATTTCGAGTATAAATGGAATAAATGCGGACGCGATTGTGAAGAAAGCATAATTAGTTTGGGAGGAAACGGCCTATTTAAAGCAATTAATCAATATATAACACAAAGGGCAATTTAATAATGAACACAGAGGGTTTTGTGAGACGGAGCGAGAGAACCAGAAGCTCAGGAGGTTCTTAGAATAATGCTTTCTGTGTGATTGGAACAGCTGAATTTGTGGACCGGTGTGTTGTGTGTAGACTCTCTCTCGGTCTATAAATACAATTTACCAAGAACGGACCGACGATTCTCGCAAAACAATATGCACTTATTCACGAAACGATTACAGTCATAACAAGTATACCTTTTTTAAATGGTATTTACTTTTATACCCTTCTCAGTTTTACAAATGCTTAAAACTTTATACTTCTGTCAGCATTAAAAAAAAGGTTCAAGTAAATAAATAATATTATTTTTTATAAAAAAATTACAATTTTAATATAATTTTCTTAATACTTCTGTTTACTTTAAAACAAATATTGAATAAAAAAATATTTAAAAAATTTCATTTTAAACTAATTAATTAAAATTTTTATATAAATGATTTTAGCATACAAAAATCTACCTATGATATTAAATATTTTAAATGAGTCAATAAATCATCATTAATTAACTAATGAGAAGAAAAGTAGTTAAGTAATAAATTTTTTTTTTCTTCTTCTAAAGATTGTGTTGATGCGGAAAGCTTTTAGTCCCCAATTAATATTTTATTAAGTGTAATGTGAAAAGAAAGTCCTCACTGTGATATTCTAGGTTCGTTCTACATTTTACGAGTTAATGCCTTCTCAATAATTATAATCGAAAAGTTCTGTAGTTTAAGTAATCGTGAGTAATAAGCAACTGAAGTGTTAATCGTCAACTCTGGAAAACCGGGAGTTTCCATCAATAAATGTTTCTTAAACCATCCGGAATTCCTCCTTCGCGTTAATTGTTATTGAAACATCGCTCACTCCAATAGGGGATGACATGCATCCTTCTATTAGTCACTCTCTCACTCTTACACACACAGTTTGTTGAGGCGCGATGAGGTCTTCCGCCTGTATTGGATTAGTTTCCAAACATTGATTATTCGGGGGAAATGCCGAAACCCGCAACACTTTATTCAATCCAGCG